TAGGCATGCTGTAGTGCTTGAGTCATGTTTCAACTCTTTTTGCTCTGACTGTTTTGCAGATAGCGGTCTTGCTTTTTGTCCAGGCCATAGCTGATCCTCCTATTAAGCTTACCATCATTGCTGGGATGATAGGCATGCCATGCATCACTGTACCCTTTTTTTTTCTGCTGAGATGGGGTCTTGCAAACCTACTTGCCACCCCACTATCCTAGAACTGTCATCTTCCTGATCTCAGTTCTCCCAAGTAGCCAGGATGACAGGTGTGAGGCACCTATGCCTGGCTATAAAAGACTGTTTGCAAAGATTAGATACATGGCTCCTGGAAGCCCTCAGTTCTCTCAGAAGAACCAAAACACAGATGGGAGATTTACCTAAGAATGGTGTGTAGAAGAGCCTTGTACCCAGGACTTATTGAGGAAACACCCAAAGATCTTAAAATTTTACACCAGCAGAAGCACTACCCACAAGGACTGAGAAGAGAACGAGAGGACACATGGAAGACTTGTCAGGCCTCAAGTTCTGCTACAGGACACAGGCAGGTAAAACCACTCACTTGCCATGTCTTGCTACCTTTCCTGGAAAGGAAGAATGACCCAGGGCGGAGATGTGAACTGCAGAGACTGACAGAGTGTGCTCAGCTGGATTTCACAATTCTGCTTTACTTTCTAGTTCCTCATTAGAGTTGAAATGTCTACAAGTGTTACCCTATGTTTGACTCATTGTGTTTTGGGAGCAGATAATTTCATTCCCTTGTGTTTAATGTGCTGTTAAATTGATCCACTAAATTTTATATTTGTAAAACTATTATATTCATTATAACAAATACAATAAAATAAAATAACAATTATTTTTGTAGAAGTTCTATTTGATTTTTCCTCCAAATATTCATGGTTAGTTTTTAAAATAAATTTAGTTATGCCCTTTTAATTTGCACTACATTGTTAAGGGATACATGCAGATAGTAGAAAGGTTACCATAGTGAAGCAAATTCACATATCTATTATTGCACAGTTACCTGTTTTTGTGTGTGTGTCAAAAGCAGGTAACATCAGCTTACATGGCACACATCTCTTATAAGTACTGTTCTCATGTGCGTGAGGTAATGCTGCATTTTTCTTTTAGTATTTGGCTTATTTCACTCAACATAACATTCTCCAGGTTCAGTCATGTTGTGGCAAATGGCTCTAGTTCTTTTTTAGGCATGAATAAATAATATTCCATTGCATATATGTTCTACCGTTTCTTTATCTATTTATGTGTTTGCGGGAACTTAAGTTGTTTCTGTATTGTATCTATTATGAGTAATGTTGCCATGAACATGGGAGAGCACATCTCCTTATGAGGTTCTGATTTTATCTTCTTTGAGTATGTATTTAGAAAAGGGATTGTTAGGCCATAAAAATTTCAATTTCTTTAGAAATGTCCACACTGTTTTCACAATGACTGCACCAATGTACATTCCCCTGAACAGTGTAAAAGGCTCCTTTTTCTCCATCCTCACCAACATTTGTTATCTTTTGGCTTTTTTGATTAAAGCCATCCTAGCGAGTGTGAGGTGGTATCTCATAGTGGTTTTGCTTTGCATTTCCCTGATTAACAGTCTTGTATACTTGCTCTATAACCTGTTGGACATTTGTATGTCTTCTTTTGATAAATATTCATTCAAGACTTTTTCACTTTTCTAAATTGGTTTTTTTGTTTTGTACTGTTGTTGAATTTTATGAATTCTTTATAAATTTTGACTATTGACTCCTTATCAGATATATGACATGCAAGAATGTTTCCTAATCTGTAGGGTTCTTATTTTTTAAATTTTCTCATTTCCTTTACTGTGCAGAGTTTTTTAGCTTGATGTAGTCCCACTTACTTACTTTTGTTTTTGTGGCCTGAACTTCTGGTGTGATAGCCCAAAAAACCATGGCCAAGGCCAGTGTCTTGGAGCTTTTCTGTTATGTTATTTTGTAGGAGTTTTATGGTTTCTGGTGATATGTTTAGGTCTTTTACCCATTTTTGATATTCTTTTGTGTGTAGCAGTCCATTTTTCTCAGCATCATGTACTGAAGAAACTGTCTTTTCCCTTTGTGTTCTCTTGGTGTCCTTGTCAAAAATGACTGTGTTTGAATTTATTTCTGGGCTTTCAGTTCTGTTCTCAATATTCTTGGTTATTTTTATAATCTTTTGCTAGTTACCCATATTTTCATTCTCCTCCTTAAATTTCAAATTTATTATATATGCTTACATTTTGTGTATTATGCATATTTCTAATATCTAAATTTGCACTTGATTCTGTAGCCTAATGTTTTGAAATTTTCAATACATGGTGCATTTTTCCCTGAGTATTTTGTGATATTAAGTAAACCTCATGTATACTTTTAAAACTTTTAATGTGAGAATATTTTATGTTGAAATTCAAAAGCAAACTCTTCCAGAGAGGATCTGTACTTACCAGGCACTCTGATCACTTACATTAGAACTGAATTTTTTTTTTCCCATTCCCTTCACTCTTTTTTTTAAAAAAATATACTTTATTTTTCTTATTGTTGTACTGGGGGTACATTGTAACATTTACAAAAGTTCTTACAATATATCATAGTTGAATTCACCCACTCTGTCATTCTCCTCCTCTCCCGCCATTCAACAGGTCTCGTTTTTCCATTTACATATTCATACTGAATTCTTAGAGTTTTGGTGGCTACCCAAGTAGTACCAATAAAGGCAGAAAACCTAGTTGAGTGCCAAATTCTCAAGACAGTTTTTTGTTTCTTTCATTCATTATCAGAGTTTAAGTCATGGATTTATTTTCTTGGCCGCTCCAAAGTGAACATTTATATGAAACTCGTGCTATAAATTAGGTATAGGATCCAAGCTTTATGCTCTGGTTGGCCATTTTTTGAACTCCTCACTTTGGGAATTCCCTTTCCCTTTTTCTCCTCTGTCTCATCTCTATGTCTTAAGTAACCATAAATCACAGAAGCTCAAGAACACATTCCCAAGAGTTTAATTCTTCTTATCTTTGACTTTTATGTAGGACATGTATGCAGATCTTTGCATATTTTGTTCAGCATTTTGCAGTGCCTTTAGGTAGATGCTCAGTATAGCTGTTAGTTTGCTATAATGCTGTATATATAAAGCTTGTGATTCATAATAAATTAAGAGAAGAAAGGTACAGTTGGATTAGAAAAAAGGGTGCTGGAAAGATGCTAAAATCTAAGAAAAATAATTCTAAGAAAAATGTTAAATTAATTGTGTTCTTACTCAGAAAGGGCTGAAGAAATGGGAGGTGCTGACATGGACAATTTACATGATGGGGAATGAGGAGATGGAAACAAGACTTTCTGATGAGTACTTTCTTGCACAAGCTATGAGATGGCATTTTTAGCATTAGCCTGACTGGTATTCTCCAGAAGATTTTGAGAATAGAGAGAAAAGATTAAGCAGCTTGAGTGAGTTATGTTGTTTTTGTATAATACATAATATTTTAACTTTCCATTCTTTCACCTTGATAGATATTATTAAGAATATAATTCCACTATACAAGGGATAAGTGGAATAAGGTGTTCCCAGAGGGAACACAGGGATATATGGGATATGAGTAGTGATAGGACAAAGAAGCAGGAAGTATAACTTTAGAGTATTAGCATTACTCTTTGGAGGATTCTCATGAAATTTATCTACATATTTCCTTGTGTAAGTAGGGAAATATGTTAGTCAAATTCACATTACTCTCACAAAATAGCTAGGTCAATTAACTTATAAAAAGGAAAAGGTTATTTTGGCTCACAGTTCTAGAAGTTCTGTTCTAAGATCAAGTGGCTAGCACCTTTGGGTGTCTGGCAAGAGTGTCACATCATGGTGGGAGGTGAGGTGGAGTAAACTACTTACCTCATGAGCCAGAAGACAGGGAGACAAGAAGGGGCTGTGGTCTCACATTCCTCTTTGAGAGCACACCCCCAATGACCTAAAGACCTCCAAATAGACCCCACTCACAAACGGCCCTCAGCACCTCCCAGTGGTGGATTGAGTCTTTAAGACATGGGTCTTTAGGAGCTGGTGGAGTTACTCTAGTGGTTGAGCAAGTCTAGTAAGCATGAGGTCCTGAGTTCAAACCTCAGTACCACCAAGAATAAAAAATAAAAACGATGTGGGCCTTTGGGGGACACTCATCAAAATCCTAGTAGGAACTGTGCATACATATTGCACAATTCTGGTGCACTTTATTTTTTGTGTTGTTTAGAAGATGTAGGAACATAAATAAACCTGACACAAAGACAGAAAAAACAGTGGAAGTTTTATTTCGCTTATATATTGCATACTTGGTTATATATTGAGCACCTGCTATGTATACTTAATTCCGTGTGTTAACAAAAAGTTTATGTCATGAATTTTGCTTTTATAGAAGTTGTAAACTTGAGAAAAGAAAATATAAAATACAATTTTTTAACAGTTTAAGGATAATTAAGTGCTAATCCTTATGGTACCAACTGAAAGTACAATGAAGGTATACAAAAGGGATAAGATATTCTTGGAACAAATTCAGATTCATCTGAGGATAAGGAAAATTGTGGAAAAATAGGGAACAATGAGGAAGCTATAGTCTGCCAAGGAATGGGAATGAGCAAAAGGAAGAAATAAACACAAACCATCTTGATGCAGAACGGGAAATAATGGAAACCAAGATTTTAGGTGGGTTTTAATAGCACAGTTGAAAGCTAGATTACCTCAGAGAATGTTTTGTTCTAGTACCTTATGTTTGATATGGCACTTGCTAGACCATTGGGGGATATTGAGGATTCTTGGGTAGAGGACTGACATGAAGAAAGTGATGTTAAAAGTGAACTTCATTGGGAAGTGTTGATCAGTGGGGTAAACTGTAAGTTGAGGCTGAGAATATATTTTGTTAAAGAAGAGCCCACTGATTTGTACTATTCCCTTTATTTGATTATATAAGCATGAGTGTGCTGATTTATATTATGTATCTAAATATATATTTGTTGTTTTAGAGGAATTCCTGGGAGGAAATGTGGTACAATCATACTTACAGCTGAGGAATTAAACTGTTGCAGGGTAAGTAAAATTTTTGTTTAAAATTATTTCTAATACTTCTTGGAAATAAAATAAGCCTTTGGATACTTGGCACTTTAATCAGAGATACTATATTGTATAGTCTAAAAGTATGATCAGTTACCTTAATAACCTTTTTAAAAAGTAAAAAGTATTGGGCTGGGTGTGATGGCGCATGCCTGGAATCCCAGCTACTTGAGAGGCAGAAGTAGAAGGATGGTTGTTTGAGGCCAACTTTGGCCAACAACAATGACAAAGAAGTTAGTGAAGCTCTGTCTCAAGAAAACATGCCAGGCATGTTGGTTCATGGCTGTAATCCCAGCTACTCAGGAGATAGAGGTAGCAGAATCAAGATCTAAGGGCTATCTTGGCACAAGCACAAAACTTTATCTGAAAAATAAACTAAAGCAGAAAGGACTGGGAGTGTGGCTGTAGTGGTAGAGTGTTTGCCTAGTAAGTACAAGGTACTAAGTTCAAACTCCAGTACCACCAAAAAAACCCAAAAAAGAAAGAAAGAAAGAAAAAAAAAAAACAGTACCAGGCTACTGAAGATTTGGCTCAGTGGTAGAACTGCTTCTTTAGTACCTGTGAGGCCCTGGGTATGATCCTTAGTGTCACACACGCACACACACACAAGAATTAAGAAGTATTCAAGTAAAGTCTAATATCCACATTGTTTTTTAGGCATTAGTATAAGGAATTATTGATTATACCAATTGGTTCAATTCCTAAAAAGTTTTTTGAAAATTTATGTGTAAATTTGAAGGAATATTTCTGGTCACTTGCTTTTAGCCCATTCAAATACTCTGCATTTTCCCTGCGTGCTTATAATTGAGTTACTCCAGAATTTATATCGTTTCCATCTTCTGATATCTTGGGAAGCCCCAGTTTGAAGAAGGAACCAGCTGCCACTCCAACCAGAAATAGGACTCATAGAGTACATTCTCTGTATTTTTAGAAAATTGCTATTTTTATTTGTGATTTGCTGATACACCTATTGACTCATGTTCAACGATTTCACTGTCGAAGAGAAACAAGGTGACAACTGTGACACTCCACACTGTAAGCAATGATAGCTTCCTGAATCTGAGGTCAATATTGTTGTTTCATGTGGTCCAGCATGTCTCTGAGGACTGTTAGTTCTGGAGGAAAAAAAGCTTGTCTTAGATTGTATTGCTAGGGCTATTTATTTTCAGTGTTTGCTTGATGATTTTAGAAACAGTAGTTTCCAAAAAATAACAAAGGTTTAACGTTTTGGCATTGGTCATAATTTTTTTATAGAAAGCTAGAGGCTTTTTATTATCTCAAGAGGATTTTTTATTTTAGATGAATGCAGTGGGTTTATTTACATAATATATTTCTCGACAAAATTGTCAGAAAATTATATGACACTGTTTACTAGCAAATGATAGAAACTGAGTATTTCAGCTGATTACGTACCTTTAGGATTCTAGGAGAGAGGAAGGAGAAAAGGAAGAGATAAACACGGGGATCTATAGTCACAGGCTTGGGAAGAGAATTTGGAATGCTAGAATTTAAGCAGTTAAAAATACATGTGAATTGAGCCTTCCTGTTCTTCCTTCTCCTATTATCGTCATCTTCCTAGGCAGGTCAGGGCCACCTCAATCTGTTTTCTCATCAGCAAAACCCAGAATCTATCTGCATTGTTATACTGTTAGAGTCCTTCTGACTGCAGAGTTTGGTTTTGCTCTGTTTGTACTTTGTCTTATTAAATCTGTGGACTGCTCTGAGTTTTATATTTGAAGGGAAAAAAGCCAATCATGTGAACCACCCACTAGACTATCTTTAAAAGTTTTTTTGGCTCTCAAATATACTACCACAACTTTAAACTTGGTAATATAATGTATATAAAAGTACTTTGTAAGTAGGGATATTTTGACAGTTTCTTTACCTATTTGTATTCCTTTTATTCCTTCTTCTTGCCTAATTGCTCTGGCTAGGAATTCCAGTACTATGTTGAATAGGAGTGGAGATAGTGGGCATCCTTGTCTGGTTCCTGATTTTAGAGGGAATTGTTTCAGTTTTTCTCTGTTAAGTATAATGCTGGCTGTAGGTTTCTCATATATAGCTTTTATAATGTTGAGGTATTTTCCTTCTATTCTTAGTTTTCTTAGAGCTTTTATCGTGAAATGGTGTTGGAGCTTATCAAAGGCCTTTTCTGCACCTATTCAGATGATCAAGTGGTTTTTGTTTTTGCTTCTGTTAATGTGGTTTATTATGTTTATTGATTTTCGTATGTTGAACCACCCCTGCATTCCTGGGATGAAGCCTACTTGGTCGTGGTGAATGATCTTTTTGATGTGTTGTTGAATTCAGTTTGCCATTATTTTATTGAGGATTTTTGCATCAATGTTCATTAAGGAGATTGTGTTATAGTTCTCCTTTTTGGAGGTGTCTTTGCCTGGTTTTGGGATAAGTGTAATACTGGCTTCCTAAAATGTGTTAGGGAGTTTTCCTTCCCTTTCTATTTTGTGGAGCAGTTTAAGGAGGGTTTGTATTAGTTCCTCTTTAAAGGTGTGATAGAATTCAGCAGAGAATCCATCAGGTCCTGGACTTTTCTTTTTTGGGAGACTCTTTATTGCTGCTTCAATTTCATTTTGTGTTATAGATCTATTCTGGTGATTAAACAGGTAAATGGATGGAATTGGAGAACATCATTCTGAGTGAAGTTAGCCTGGCCCAAAAGACCAAAAATCATGTGTTTTCCCTCATATGCGGACATTAGATCAAGGGCAAACACAACAAGGGGATTGGACTTTGAGCACATGATAAAACGAGAGCACACAAGGAAGGTATGAGGATAGGTAAGACACCCAAAAAAACTAGATAGCATTTGTTGCTCTCAATGCAGAGAAACTAAAGCAGATACTTTAAAGCAACTGAGGCCAATAGGAGAAGGGGACCAGGAAGTAGAGAAAAGATTAGTTTGAGAAGAATTAACTTAGAGGGTAATACACATGTACAGGAAAGCAATGTGAGTCAACTCCCTGTGTAGCTATCCTTATCTCAACTAGCAAAAACCCTTATTCCTTCCTATTATTGCTTATATTCTCTCTTCATCAAAATTAGAGATAATGGCAGAATAGTTTCTGCCTGATAGCGAGGGGTAAGGGGGGAAAGGGAGGGAGTGGGGGGGAAGGGGAGGCATGGAGGGAAAGGGGGGGAAGGGGAGGAATAATGACCCAAACATTGTATGCACATAGAATAAACTAAAAATTAAAAAAAAAAGTACTTTGCATATATTAAAATGCTTTACAAAAATAGTGAAATTATTTAACGTGGAAATATTACCTACTAATTTGTTTGTAGTAGTTATTTTTTGTACTTCTTGTCTCTGAATTTGTGCATGCATATGAAAATATGTGCTTTGTACAATGAGAGAGAAAAGAGAAAAGGCAACTCATGGTCAATAAGATTCATGTTCTTTAAAGTGATGTTAACATGCTGTTTTGTCAAAATCTCCAGTTTATAGAGGTGGTTCTGTTGTAAGTATGCCAATGAACACATTGTTGTCAGTTCTATTAAGCAAACCAGAAACAAAGTCCCAAGGGCATGGGTTGAGTATACATGGTAAGTCAACATCTTCAGCTTCTTCCACTTTCAATTCTATTGTCTTTCTTAGAAGAATGTGGAATATTCTTCTATGGCTTCCATGCAAATGAAGTAGACTCTATTCCTTGGTGATCTATGTGCTATAATCTCTAGTTCTAAAGTGTAAGACTATCTGAAGTTATCATTCAACGAGTAAATATGTATTTCTCACACTTAGAAATTATAGGTCTAATAATTTTATGAATATTGCTTAGAATCTTGGATAGCATCATCTTATGTTTCTTATATTCTAATTCTTAGCTATGGTGTATTGACAATCCGCATTATTAATAATAGTTATAAATCTTGAAATATAATTTCATTACCACACTTGTTAAGTAAAATGAAAGTATATGCAAAGCAATCTCATAGTTACTTCAAAAGAATCAATGCTCTTTTATTATATACTTTAGGAAACTTTAAAAGGAATTATCATTTTGAATGAAATAACTGTATTTCACACTCAACACCATATAAGTCTACAGGATTTTTTTTGGAGGAAGTTGTTAGTTGTTGACTCGTTGAGCAATGAGCACGGGCTTTAGAGTAAAGACTCTTACTTTTCACTCTTGCTTGTCTCACTCTTTAGCTATGTGAGGTTATGCACTCAGAGCTTTAATTTCTGCATTTGGAAAGTGATAATGTCCTGTTTGTAAAATGAGTTCTTTGGGATATGATTGATATACTGAAATTTGTGTGTATTTTATGTGTAGAATTTGATGAATCTGGAGATCAAAATGCCCCCATAAAACCATGACTACAATCTGTGCCATAAACATATCCATCACCTCCAAAAGTTTCTCCTACCTTTATTGTTATTGTTGTTATTATTATTATTACAAGAACACTTAGCATAAGGTCTACCTTTTCAACTATTTATTATTTATAGGTGCTGGGGCTCAAACCCATGGACTTGTGCATGGTAGACAAGTACACTACTGAACCACATCCTCAGCCCCCTCTCATAGCAAATTTTCAAGTTTGCCATATATTATTGTTACCTATAGGCACAGTGCTATATAGTAGATCTCTCGGACTTATTTATCTTGCAAAACTTAAACTTTGTACCCTTTCACAGAGTCCTCCCAATTTCTTGCTTTCCTCATCCATTGGCTACCATCATTCTGCTCCTTGTTTCCACAAATTACTGCTTGAAATTCCTCATATATGTGGTACCATGTAATATTTATTCATGTGTTGGTTTTTGTAGTATTGAGGATTGAACTCAGGTCCTTGTGCTTGCCAGGCAAATGCTCTACCATTTGAGTGACATCCCTGCCCTTTTGTTGGCAGTTTTATTTTTGAGAAGGTCTTGTTAACTTTGGCCAGACTTACCTCAAACTCACAATTGTCTTACTCCACCCCCCTAATTTCTAGGATTACAGGTGTGC